CCTGCCACATCTACAACTTCTATTACTACAGCTATCGCTCTGTGGCTGGAAAGTTGCCAGTTCAAATCCCATGGCCGGCAGAGGAATCCTACTCCGTTGGGCCCCTGAGCCAGGCCCTTCACCCCAGCTGCTCCAGGGGCGATGTATAAATGGCTGACCCTGCGCTCTGACCCCCAGCTTCTCTCTCCCTGTCTGTGTGTCTCATGGAGAGCAAGCTGGGGTCTGTGAAAAAGTTATACCAACAACAACTCACCTCATCTTTAGCCTGGAAGAGATATTCCTTTCCGTCGGTCAGCCTGTGGAGCAGACAGAAAGTTCCATCAGTGCCCAGGCACCGGTGAGGGCTTCTCCGCGGGGAAAATTCGGAACGGCTCACTTCTGGATTGGGCAGCTGTGACAAAACGGTTTTCGCGCTGCCCCGGAATCTGTCCGGAGAGCAGCAGCCAGGGGACGTTCTGGGGCCCCTGCGGACTGGCTGGAGGGGCTGGACCTCTGCAGAGACGATACCTGAGGTATTCGCAGTACTGACAGAGGACACAAGTGGAACCGACTCGGTCTGAAAACCCAGAAGGGGGGTGGGGCGGGGGGGTCACTTCTTTACACAGAGAGTGGCGGGAGTGTGGACAAAGCTTCCCAGCCTCGCTGTCAAAGCCAAGTCCTTGGCGTCTTCCAAGAAACAGGAGGATGAGACATTTGGATCAGCCTGGAACCTGTGTTCTTATGCCGACGGCGTGAATTCCAGAGTCCTGGCACGAGGAGCTCCCCTCCCCTCCCCCTTACCGCAGCTTGAAGACGTGTTTCCTCTTCTTGTAGTCGTGCGCCACCTCGCACGCGGCGTCCGCCAGGCTGAGGGGCACCTCGCCGTGGTAGGGCACGCCGTTGGCCGCGCTCTTGTTGTCCTTGTAGAAGCCCAGGCTGCCCTTGCGCAGGACGCAGTAGACGTTTTGCCAGGACCTGCCCCCGCCGGGGGGAGAGAGACAGGGAGAGACTGGGTGAGGCGGAGCCGCTGGGCTCCACTCCCACTCCCACTCGCGCACGCGTCTCATCTGCGGTCATTAAAAACCCCAGGGTGTCTCTCGAGAAGAGTAGGGGTGTTACCCCGGTGTCCTGGCCAAATTCCCCCCTGGCCTTCACCCATCATGGCCTCCTAATAACCCCCCTCTCTGAACTGGCTCCATCACTCTGCTCTCCTCCCCACTGAGAGCTGGGGTGTGGGGAGCGGACTGGCGCCTCATCCAGGTGGGGGTACACACTGCTGGGGGTGGGAGGGGATCCCCATGACCTGTACGGAGCTCAAGTCCAGAAAGGCGCTCTAGAAGGGTCAGGGATTATTACACACACGAGTGCGACGTCGATGCCGAACTGGGATGCAGGAGCTGGGCCATTCAAGAGGCGCCGCCGCCCTGCGGCCACCAGGGGGCAGCACTGCGGGGCCCAAGCTCATGGAGTGAAGAGAGCGCTACAGCTCCACAGGCGCCTGACCCACTGACTAAGCGACACCCTGTCCAAACCAGGGATGGACCCTGCTGGTCCGGGCGACACCGTGACTGACCGGCACACCGGCAATGCGCTGCCAAGCCCTTCCTGGGGGATCATCCTGACGGGACTCACCTGCTCGCGGCCTTCTTGGCGTGGGACTCCATCTCCTGCTTGCGGCACAGCATGCCCTCGATGTGCTCGTCCGCCGGGGGCTCCGTGGCCTTGCCGGGCAGCGTGGCGAAGGGCGCCGGCTCCAGCCGCGAGGAGGAGGCCAGCCCGCTGTCCCGCTCGCGGCCCGGCCCGTTGGCCGACTCCGACTCCGAGCCCTGGGGGTACGGCGGAAGTCAGCGATTCCCGCTGCCGGGCCTCGATTTCTCCCATCCCCACCCATTCCACCTCTCTTCAGAGGGGAGCTGCGATCCCAGTTTCTCAGACCGGTGATTAAATAGTCGCTGACGGTATCATCAAGCACAAAATCGTGAACTTTTTCAAAAGACTAAGTTGCCAAATTGACGCAACCCGCAATCGAGTTCCCATAAAGTCCGATGTGAGGCAGCCCTTCCTGCTCACTAGTCCCTGTGCTGACTAATGTACTGAGATGTGAAGCGACCCTTCCTGCTCACTAGTCCCTGTGATGACTAATGTACTGAGATGTGAATCAGCCCTTCCTGCTCACTAGTCCCTGTACTGACTAATGTACTGAGATGTGAAGCTGCCCTTCCTGCTCACTAGTCCCTGTACTGACTAATGGACTGAGATGTGAAGCGGCCCTTCCTGCTCACTAGTCCCGGTACTGACTAATGTCCTGAGATGTGAACCAGCTCTTCCTGCTCACTAGTCCCTGTGATGACTAATGGACTGAGATGTGAAGCAGCCCTTCCTGCTCACTAGTCCCTGTACTGACTAATGCACTGAGATGTACAAGAGAATAAGTACAGGTTGTGCAGCAGATATTTCACCGCAGAAATGTTCCAGCGTGATCCGCAGGCAGAGTTAACCAGTGAGAAGTATTTGCCAGTGAAACCGTCTGGGAGAGGAGAGCAGTATTTCTACTGGATGAGAAGAGCTGGACTCACAAGCCTGCTTGTTTACAGGGTCACAGGGCGGCTTCACCTCACCGGAAGTCCTGCTGCCTCGTTCTGAATCCCAGAACATGGCGCTGAGCAGACCTGGAAACTTCCTCTATTTTAAATTAAAATCCCGCGGCAGGGAATTGCAGAGTACGTAAAAGGAGGCTGTGAGCCATCTATAAACCAAAGGAAAGATTCTGCCCCTTTTTTCCGACGCTCAACATCAACAGGTCTCATCCGGCTACACAGTCACGGACAGGACACGGACAGACACAGGGACGCAGACTGACACAGCACAGGTGACATGGAGGGCAAGGTGTTGAGGCTCCGTGCTCCGTGGCCGAAAGGGCGGGGGGGTGTGACCTCTCACACAAGAGCCATGCAAGACGCCGGGAGGCCATGACTTCGTTCAGCGCAGGCAGAAAATCGCAACCGTCCCCAACACACCCACTCCCCCCCCCACACCGCGCCTCGATCGCTGCAGGTGCCTGTAGCCTGCCCGGACCACCAGACCGCGGCAGGACGGATCCGCTCTCCTTGATCTCCGTCCCGGGCCCCCGGAGCTAGAGGCTAGACCAGACCTGCAGCAAATCTGGGAATACTGGGAAGTCTCTGGGAGATTCCTCTCCTCCGCCCCCCCAATGCCTCCCACTCAATCCCCTTCCTGTTAATGCCCAAGTCTTTAATCAATAGGCACAGCTCTGGCG